CCCCAAAACCCCAAAACCCCAAAACCCCTCCATTGTCAAATTTGGCTTAAATATTTATATCAAATATCAACATTTTGATATAATTATAAAATGAAACAGTTTAAGACAAAGGGACATTATTCACACCAAGAAGAGCATTCACTAGATTTACTATAATGCAACTTTTTGGTATAATATTCCTATAGGACGATGATAGGTTTTGTCCAGTTCATTCTAACCTTCATTGATACTATCCATCTGCTTGGCTATATTTTTGGAACTTTGACTATGTTTAAACCTCTCTCTGGGATATTTATTGACTTGTTCTGTTACAGAAATAAAATATTCAAATATCTCCTCATGATTTTCTAAGTTCTTGTGGTTTTTTAAATTGTATCTTTCATTTTCGCAATTACAAAATTTGTGCTCACCGCTAAGAGGCCACGAACCAGGGAGTCCATCAGTGTAAATTTACAAGTATAATTTCTAGGGAGAATACAAAGGCCCTCAATCTTTGATACTCTGAGATATATGAACGATACATTTTCAGTGAGAAACAACTTCGACCTCGACTATTGGACTCATTATTCATTTTCTAAGTCCCACTACCAAACAAGTAAGAATCTTTTTACTCTCTTTCGAAACCAACCCTTCAACCTGAGTCGCCTTTTTCAGTGATTATTCGTAAGGTGAAAGATAAAAAGAATGAGAAGAAGGAGTGGATAGAAAGCTCATGTTCATGGATTGGAAAGATGCCTCAAGTTTAGACTTAGTACTCTCGATATCCATCTTACTCATGATAGACTTCTTTCTTTTGAAGAACCTATTTTTGATATCTGAGAGTCCTTCTTCCTCTTCTCTCTTTGAGTTTTCTCAGCTCTGGTTATTTTGATATTCTTGCTCAATTAAGACTTTTCTTGCTCATTGTCAGCTTGGGATAATCTAATTTTCATTTCAGCTTTTAACTCAGCAATCAGTTCAAACTTTTTGGTTGTCAATTCTTCAATGAATTTGTTTGTGGCTTCTTCTTTCTCTACTTGGATAATTTCAAAAACCTTTTCACACTCTTTCCAAATTTCTTTAAGATTCTCTTCGAGAAGTTCATCTCCACTCTCTTCTTCTTCATTTTTTTCGCTAAGGGATGTCTCGATTCTGAGATTGTCATGAGGTGGAGCATTAGGTGTCTTGTTTGTGATATTCAGAGTTGAAGTTGTTGTATCAGGCAGTTTATTGAGGAGCTCCAATCTAAAGCTTTCATCATCCTCAACATCACTTGCTTCATTTTTAATAATACTAAAATTTGGATAATTGTACTACTATCTTTCTCGAATCTATTTCCGAGGTTCTTTGATTCAAACTTGAAGAAGGACCGATAATTAGCATTTTTATAGCTATTGATGAATTCATTCTTCCTTCTTCTCTCTGCTAATATTTGATGAAAGCCAGTACTTTGTTTGATTAAGTCTTTGGCTACATGGCTCACACTGGTGTCTTCAGCTTTGTTTCTTTCTTCAACAATCTTTTCAAGTGTTTTCTTTTTCTCTTTCTTCTGAGCCTCTTCTCTTACTATCATTTCATGATCTAGTTCTTTCTTCTTCCGATTGTATTCTTGAGTCTTTTTGATGAATCTTTATTTTGGTTCATTTTCTTTTCTTACTCTCTGTTAGAAATAATTTCCTGGTTTTTTTAAGGATTTCATATAGCTCTTTTGAAGAAAGCATCAATCTTTCCAGTACTTTCAGCTTCATGAGAGTAGTTTGTATTCTATCGGCATAATAACTTGCAATCTAAATGTTGATACAATTATAATACTTTACAATTTGAGAATAAATAAGCATCAGCTAGTTTAAATCTTCCTTGAAAAACTCTCCTTTATCGATCCATTACACAATCTCAAGTACTTCTCCAGTGAAAATATCAGGTAGTGTTACCTTCTGCTCAAGTCATTTCTTTCTGTATTCAAGTGGAGAGGTGTTCTTTATGTTCACAAAATATATCACAGCTCTCTTATCTCCATTCATTTTAGACAAAATGGATTTCGCCTTAAGAATTATAAAATTTGATGATTAATGTTTGCAGGACAAATATATTGGGGTTTTGGGGTTTTGGGGTTTTGGGG